ATTTGAATTTGTAAGGAGACAGACAAAACACACCCTACTTAAGTAAGCATTTTCATTGAGTCGGTTTTTTTTCAGGAAATTAAAGTATGTTTGTTTAAAACTCGGCACTTTGTCGGGTCTAAAAGATCTCGGGATTATGCTCCAAAATAATAAATACAGTGGAGCTTTGGGCGACGAGCAGCACCACCTACGACCATTTCAGGTAAGGAGCAATCTACTAGCAGAAAAAAGTGCTTCGACTGACGAGCTTCTGCTAAATTAAGAAGCTGGCAGTACGTGTGTATGCCTATGTCCGCCGTTGAGTCCTGCTCCCAGGGCGTGGGTATTCGGTCATCTGCAGCTGATCAGTGAATGATACAGTTTGATTCGCTACGTCTCGCAAGACGAGTGGTTCTCGTGGCGGGCTCGGTGCCGAAACGGAGTCAACTCGTTAACCGAAGTTCCACTGCATTACAATTCCAATAAATTAATCCTTCCTAGTCAAAAACGCACTGTAAATTGTCGGTTAACGTTTTATGAGATCGGTCACTGGCTGTAGAATAGATTACTTATCTCTTGAAATTTTAACCGGAATGGGTTTTTGATGCGAGCAGATTACTTAAGTTAGGTTGTAATATTGATTGCCGTGCAGTCTACTCGCAAGATATTTTAGCTACGTCAGGAAACCGACTTTTGAACGAACTTCTTTCTGACCACACGTAGGACTTGTGCCTTGTAAAAATGGCTTATTCATTAGTATGTAGTTTTCTCGTTAATTTCAAATGCCCTTGTAAATTTAAATATACTTTATAGAAAACATGCACAAAAATATATTGACATGTACTCGTTTGGTAGCAAAGTACGCCTTCTTCGAAGTATATAATTGAAGAACGGTTATATTGCGATTTAGAAACGGTTCCTAGTTATGAGCTTTTTAGTGCCGTTAGATGTGCATTCATAGTACCCCGTATTCGTCAACTTAATAATGTTACCCATAAAGTATATAACAGGATCCACACCCTTTGACGGAATTTGTACACCATGTAAGTGGGAAACCTTAAATGCCAGTGTAACGGCCGCTAGGTTTCGGAATTATTCGATAATTTAAGTTTTTTTTTAAAAAACGGGAGGATAACCTTTCTTCAAATATATAATCCTGAGGAGGCGTTATTTTCTACCAAAACCCAGTTCAGGACTTCGGTTGACATTTCATGAGATAAGAAATTGGTTGGAGGTTATTCTCTAAATATTTCGCATTAATTTGTATGAGTAATCAAGAAATTAGTACCGTTTTGGGTAATCTTTTGTGATCTTGATATTCTTTAAGCAAGAGTTTGGTATAGACGGATTTTGTAACTACCACTGACATCTTGAGATTTCAAAAGCCATCATAATGCTATTAACGTTTGACGGTCCGGAATCAACTTTTTACTGTCTCTTTTGCTACCCCATAGCTGATCATGCCCCCGAGTCGAGATCCCAGTCATCTACTTTGTCCCCCAAAAAATTGGAAGGCACGTGTTGAAGGTACCTCCCTAGGAGTGAACGTTACCGGTGTTACTTTGTCCGCCCTCTCCTGTCGGCGAGCCATTCCGCCCTGGAGAGGTGGTCTGGGTTCTTGAATGAGTCACGTACCGGAATCATTCCATTCTCTTCCTTTCAAGTGGCAGTTACAACCAACTAGTTGTTCTCAATGTTGCCGTTGTTTCATGGATTTGTTATCAGAAAGTTACAATATTCAGTTTTCTTCCGGCTTCCTCTTGACGGTTCTGTACAGATAATAAACAATTTAGTACTGCTCAATATTTGTACAAACATTCTTCTTTACACAGTAACGCGAAAGGGATACTCGCTCATATTCTACCGAAACCCTTTTTCTGTTCGGTGGGTGCTTCTAATTTTCCCCCAATTTCACCCTCAGAAGAGGCCGTTCATACGATATGCA